ACTTTTTTCTCTAATTCGAACCAGCCTTTCTCTCTTTCTTCTCTTTTCTCTCTTCCTCTTTCCTCTCCTACTTCTTGCTGTTTACTTTACACTCAACGAACAAGACAGAATTCTAGGGCAGGTCAAACTTTAACAATTAGACATGTTTTTTTATAATTATTATGAGACTTATGCTAGTTTAGAATGTCCTCAGTTATTGGATAAACTTGGGGAATTTATCTTGCCAAGACTGACACTATTGTTTTGCCAAATTGGTGGAGCAGTCTGTCTCAATTGCTAGGGTTAGATCTAAGGTACAATCAGTAGGTGTTTGCTAAAACATTGAACAATGACCATTTTTGGTTATGCCCTATACCTTGGAGACAAATGGACAAAACTAGAAAGTTGCACTTAACCCCTAAACTTGATAATGGTATTCACTAAGTGTTGGATTTAGCTACTTTTGATGTATCTATCAACTAGTGAGATCCTCTAAGGGTTAAATACTTGAGTATGTGGGAGCAGTTTGGAATATCACTTGAGTAGGTGATCATTGTGACAGGATCGGCCACTTAGTCAAACAAAGAGAATGTCTTGATTTACACTCTCTTTTATGGAAACCTAACACTGTCGGCTATGGATTCCAACATGTGTTTTGAAGTTAATTCGCAAAATGTATTTATATTTATAAATAATTTATTTTATGAAAGGGTTTGCAAAAGGTTTTACTCTTCGGATCCATCTGAGAAGAGAGTGTGACACTACATTCCACAGTCAGGGAAGAGGTCCTTCCCTATGAGTAGTGTATAGATATTATGGGCTGAAACCTGATGGGCTTAATTCTCATATTAATTCATTGGCTTTGAGCTTCATAGGGTGGCTGAACCCAAAGCCCACTTATGCTTAAGTGTTGGGCCGATTCCAAGCCCAATTAGATTGGACAAGAGGTTCACTAGGTAGATCTAGTGAGTTTGGCCCATGTGGTTCTCTGCATGGGCTGAACCCATATGGTTAAGTGTCTGTGTGAGGACTGAGGACTTAGCGGGTCCCACTCCATACATGATTCAGGTCTAATTGGTTAGTCAAATTTTTTTTAATGAAAGGATTTGAGTGAATTGATCCAATTCCCTACATATACTAGGACTAGTTTGACTAGTCCTATAAGGCCTATACCAAGTTTGACTAGGAATTGGGTAATTGGATTATTTGGGTCAAACTTGGAATGGGCTTGGATATTATTTGTTTCTATTATGATTAGAAAGGTTTCTAAGTTAGATAACTTCTAATCAAGTTAGAAACCCGAATTGGAAACTCCTAATAGGACTACAACTTATAGTCATTTTGATTTTTACTAATAACAGTAACTTTCCAGATGATTAGTTTGATTGCTTTTGCTTTGGCCACAAGGCCCTCTACCTTTCCTTTTCTATGTTATAAAATTTTTAGATATACTATCAAAAAAATACTACTTGTACGTCTAATAATGCTTCAAAAAAAAAAAAACTCATTCAAGAAAAAAGCCACGAAAGAAGAGAAAAAAATAAAAAGAAAATTTTACAATAAAATTAGTGATTCAATACAAAGTTGTTTAAGCATCATTAATAAAAAGAGAACACTTTAAGCAATTGAAACATACTAGTTGATGGAATCCCACTTTGACAATGGACTTGTTTGTCCTGGACTGCCTCTCTTCTTAGTGCATACTCCACATTGAATTGTTTCTCTAAAAAATTATGAAGCTCCAAACATACTTTTGGACATCCATTTGGATGCAGACTTTGACAAATTTGGCACCTAAGTGTTTCATCCACATCGATAGCTATACAAGATTCACAAATCACTGAAGAAAAGAAAACATCAGAACAAGAATAATAGGAATTCAGTTTTTCCAAAAGTGTACAACGTGAGATTGGTGCTAACTGCTAAGATTACCATGGCCACAATTAAGAACTGCAGGTCGAAAGAGAAGTTGTTTGCATGAAGGACACATCACATCAGCAAAGATATCTTCTTGCAAGTTCCACCATTAATGTCATCTTTATTTTTCTCAACAGGCAGATTTCTTCTGGCTTCAAAATTGTCTGCAAAACCTTCTTTAGGAATAATAATAGAAGTATCATGAAATGATGTATCAAGCTCTGATGGCACTGCAGTGGCAGAAGAATTCATTTTCCCTGCTGAGCAAGTGTCCATAGAAAAGATGATCTGAGAACCCATGGCGGAAGAATGTGCAGTACACCCAAGGAGATTTAATTCTTGTCCAGACAAATGATCATCAATGTGAGGTGAGAAGCAATCCTGTGTTTTTTCTTCCTCTGAAACAAGGAACGAGAACATATACATTATAAAGGAGAATAACAATACTTGATCATGTGCACAGAGAAACAATTGTATTGCTAATAGTAATTGTGAACGATATTCAAGCTTGAGCAGGAGCCCATGACAGAAATTCATTTAAATTGAATAGTGGAAGATGGAACTAAGCAAGAAGTTGTGTTTTCATTCCAAGTAGTTATAATATAGAAATGCATTAGATGCATGGATGATGCAGGTGAATTTAAGTAAGTGATGACAAAGAATCAAAAGAAAAAACTTGGTAAGGCTGTAAGAGGGGGCAATCAGAAATATGGCTCTTCTAGGTAAGTGGTTATGGAGATTCCCTAATGAACCTCAGGCATTGTGGAATTTGCTTATTAAAAGCATCCATGGTCTTCATCCTAATGGTTGGACTTCTGGTCTTGTAAAAATCCCACTCTAAAAAGTTCATGGAAAGCAATTATGACCTTACTCCCAACCTTTTCGCAACATATAAGGTATGATGCTATTGGTGGGCAATGGCTGCCTTTTGTCAAGCCTTTCCAAGAATCTATAACCTCTCTACCCTTAAAAATAAACCTATTGCTGACCTAGTAACACATGATGGAAGAGGGTGGGTGTGACCGTGTGAGCTTTGGGTTTGAGAAGAGCCTTCCTTGAGTGAGTAAGAAATGGGTGAAATGACCTCTCTTCTTGATATTCTCCAATAAATAAGCTTTAATCCTTTAGAAGTGGATGAGAGAGTGTGCGAACTTGTTGCTGTGAAAATTTTAATAAATTCTCACACAACATAATTCAGTCAATCAAGTGATTGAGTTTTTATTATTTTGGGTAAGGCCCATTCAGGGAATCATACGGATTGTTCCCCTTAATCACATCTCCACAAGAAAGTAGAGAACACCTTTTGATTCTGACTTGAAGAAATGAATGCATAGAACAAAAGAAAAGAACAATAGGGTACTTAAAAAGAACTTTTCATTTGTGTTTCTTTTACATTAAGTGTACAAGAATGAGAAGAAAGAAAAAGAAAATATTGAGAAACTATACAACAATACATTTCGTTCTTTTCTTTTTGATACAAAGAAAATTTCCTTCTCACTCCTTTCTTCATAATAAGCTGCAGTCAATCAAATAAAATTTTGACTGTAGACAGCCTTAATCCTTGGATTTTTTGCATACAAAAACAGAACCATAGTCAATCAAACTGAATATTTGATTGTAGACAGTTTTTATCCCTCTGTTCTTCATTTTCATTTGAAGGGAACCATAATCAGCCCTTGAGAATTAGACTGTAGATGGTTTAATCCCTAACTTTGTCTTGAAAGTGGGATCACAATCAACTAAGTAGAGGCACCTGGTTGTAGATGGTTTATTTCCCTCTATTTCCTTTCTCAAAAGTGAAAATATAAGAGAGCGAAATAAGGATACATAGCAGAAGACATATATAGGAAGTATTCACAGAGAGGACTTTCCTTTTTCTACCTGTACTAGTGAGACTTTTCCTTCCCTGCCTTCCCTTGAGCACTTCTCTTTTCTTCTCTCTTTATCTTTGCTTTTCTTAAGAATCTCTTGAGAAAATTTTCCCTGAAGAGAGTGTCCATGTCTAGCTTCCCCTTAAGGAGCTTAAATAGGGAGTTGAGTAGTTATGTAACTACCTCCTCCTCCTAGATGAAAGACACCTGTCCCTCCCACTTAAGGAGAGGGAACTCTCATATGGGATACTTTTTTATAGTTTTGATGATTTGGCTAGCAGACTAGCCAACCCACTTATTTGGTTTATTAAATTATTAAATATTATTTGGATTAAAAAAATGCCTTCAACAGAACCTAACAATAATGGGTTGTCTCTTGTGATTCTTTTTTCCAAACCTTTCATCAACCTCCTAAACCGGACTCTTTCCCAATTAAAGAAGTGTGGGGCAGCCCTATTCCTCCCAAAGTAAAGGTTTTCTGTTGGGAAGCTGCCATACAAATCATTAACACCTATGAGGGTGTTTCTCACCTTATATTTGTGTCCCTTGCTTTAGAAATGGGGAAACCACCAACCATCTCTTTTGTTGCATTGTATTTTTGCAACACAACTTGGGTTCACTTTTTATCTCTTTTGGGGGCGTGTTTGGGTGCCTCCAACAGAAGTCAAAAAGATGTTTAGTTTTATGGCAATGTGTTAGAGGTTCTGTACTTTGGAGTCCGGCAAGAAAGGAATGCCAGAATCATTGAGGAGAAGAAAAGGAGGGAGGAGGAGTTAATTGAACTAACTATGATTAGAGCTGCCTACTGGGCCATGGTGAGTAAAGAATTCAAAAAGTGTTTCTCCAAATGATATGTTAGGGGAATGGAAAACCGTTGCTGATTTTCAGGACAGTAGACCAAAGAGGGTGGTCTGTTGATGTGTTCCAACAATAGATAAACTCAAGTTGAATTTTTTTTTTTTCATAATTGTAAGCTCAACTTGAATGTTGATAGATGCAGCCAATTGGGGGTGTAATCAGAGATCGCAATGGGTGTATCCTACTAAGCTACTCTGGATCTATTGGGTTTGGCAACTCTCAAAAGGCTGAACTGAAAGCTTTAATTCAGGGGTTGGAATTGATGAGGCTAAAGAAGTTAAAAATGTGGAGGTGAAAAGTGATTGTCAAAATTTAATATGCTGGTTGAAGATGCAGGATCTAGTCCACCTTTGGTGCAGCAGGCACAACACTTGGGTTCCTTATGGAATAGCTCATTCAAATGGGTACCTAGGAGTTAAAAACGCGGTAGGCACAACACTTCTTAACCAAGGCTGGGGTACAGAAGAATAACCTTGAATCAAGCTGTCCAGGACCGGGGGAACTTGTAATACTTGTAATTCTTGTTGATCTGTTCTCTGGTTTCTGTTCGTACTTTTATTGTTAGAGCTCCGTGTCTTTTGGAGTTGGTTTTTGCGTTTGTAGCAACTACTTATCAAGTGCCAATCATGGTTTAAAATGTCCCTAATTTCCCTAATATTTCCACGACATATTTCCATTTCCATGAGTAGCAACACGAAATTTTACTGGAAGCGACATTTCCCCAATGAACACTACCAGACCTTTGTGGAGTACAAGAGATAGTATCCACGACATATTTCCATTTTCACTTCCATGGGTAGCAACATAAAATTATACTAGAATTGACATATTCCCTAGTGAACACTACCAGTACTATGTGGAGTACAAGAGATAGTATTATAACATAAGTTGGTGACAATATTGTAGATATGTTAAGTAACAAGTTATTGTCCACCTAACTTGCATGATTACAACTTTGAGCTAGCTCAATATTCATTCCAAACATGAAGTTAAATAATAGTTTTTGTTTCTGTAGTAGATTATTTGGTTGATCTATTACAACCATTTACATTTTCTATGAGTTTAAATTTTTCTTTAACTAATTCTATCATGAAGTTCTAAAGCTTAAGGTTAAAAGGGCAACTTCAAAACATATTCTTTTGTCTATAACCTTAGTTTCTTAGTTTTGTTTAATAATTTGGAACAAGATAATAATTTCAAAAGGTGTGCTTATGCTTCTTTTGTCATTTCATAAAATATCATTCTAATTTTGCATATTTTACAATGTTTCCACCATGTCTATAATTTTTACAATATTTCCGACATTTCCAACATGTTTCTTATATTTGGATAACCAACATTTCCACCGATATCGACATTTTAAACCTTGGTGCCAATTACACGACTTCCCACAAGAGGTAAATAAGTACTTCCTTTGAGATTTCCTATCACTAAACAGCTCAAGGAAAACTGAGTTCTCTTGACAGATGCAAGTCTATTATTTCCCGAGTTCAATGCAATATAATCTTTTCCTCCCCTTTTTCAGTGTGCATCTAACCAAGAGGCTTCTGTTGCTGAGTGTTGCAGCTTGTCTGGAGATTCAGTTATTTGGTCCCCTACCTTTAGAGGAATCTTTTCGACTAGGAGATTGAAGAGATAATGAATATGTTGACTATTCTTCGGTCTCAAAAGGTTGATTTCTGCTTAGAAGATTAGTGGTATTGGAAGTGGAATCCAGATGGTGTTTTCTCTGTCAATTCTTTGGCTTCCAAACTTTGTAGAAAGGGTGACACTGATTTCCCTTGTTCTCAAGTGTGGAATCCTATTAGCCCATCTAAATCCAACTTCCTGGTCTGGACTATGGTTCTGAATAAATGTCTGTCTAGAGCTAATCTTGTGAGAAGGGGCATTCAACTTTTGGACCTTTCGTGCAGTCTGTGTAGGAACAATTCTGAATCTACTGACCATCTGTGCATTCACTGCCCGTTCTCTTCTCAGTTGTGGAACCACTTTTTCAGCTCCATGAACTTAAGATGGACTATGCCAAGATCAGTAAAAGAGCTTTTGTGTTGCTGGAACATCAATGGTCTTAACAAGAAAAGGAAGATAGTGTGGAAGACTATTCCTAGTGTTGTCTTATGGTCCATTTGGTCCAAGAGGAATAGTAGGCTTTTCTGTAATAAGGCCTTAAGTCCAGAAGATTTAATCCAGAAAGTTGTGGGCAAGTTAATCTCTTGGGTGTCAGTTTCTGAGGAGTTTAGAAATTGTAATTTGTCTGTTGTTTTTCGTTCTAGTTCTTGGTGGAGTATGTAATTGCTGTGTTGATCAGTCTGCCTTTTTGGGACTGATCCCAGCTTGTATGTGCTGCTTTTGAATAAATAAATATTACGTTACCTTTTTCCAAAAAAAAATATTATGGAGCAAATTTGAACTCATTTGCCAAAAATAAACTTCTAGCAATATAAAAAGAAAGTCTTGCTACATATGGCCACACCATTTTTGGGACAGGCCATTATTTATCAAACCACCCCAACAAATCATTTAACAAAACATAAGAACTGATAGCTTACACGTATCTGCACATAAAACAAAAAAAAAGAAGCTCAGGAAACTACCCATGCAATGGAGACTCACAATCCACAAAATGATTCCAGGCACAATAATGGAAATGTCATGTTTAAGAAAACACAATAGCAAATCTTCAAGAAAGCTAACTGTATGAGCCAATAGCAGAACTCCACTAGTAGACAATGTTCAGAGAACCAGACCGGGAGAGGGGAGAGGTTCAAGAGTTAGAGGTTCAATTGGGGCCGAACCATGATTATGTGGCATATACATATATATACTACGGGTTAAGGGTAATATAAATCTATCTGTTAATGTCAACTATGTAGGGGTAATTTTGTCTTTATGCTTATGTTTAAGTTGTTGATGTGTAAAGTTATGTTAGTTCTTATGTCCCTCACTTAAGTAGGGGCAAAGGTGTAATTTCCAGATTAATTGAAATATAAAAACAAATCTGGCCGAATGGGAGACTGATTTTCTCTCTTGTTCGAACCAGACCTTTCTCCCCTTCTATTCTCTTCTCTTCTTCTTCTCCCTCTCTTTTCCTCTTTCTCTTATTTCTGCTGTTATCACTCTAACAGAATTCAAGGGCAGGCTGAATTCTAATACTATCTATAATATATTTTACAACTTTTAATATACTTAAATATGATGGATGGATGGCAAGTTCCTTAATTATTAAAGCAGATGACTATGGTTCAAGTCTCTTAATTTACATTTTCTTTAAAATATGTGCTTAATAAAGTAATATGTACAAGAGTGTCATTAATTAACATAACACAAGTAAAGAGATGGACTAGTGGTAATTAAGCAATATATGAAAATAAGAGGTCATGGGTTCAAGTCTTGTTAAACACATTTTAAAATTTCAATAATTCCAGGACCCGAGTGGTTTCATAAAACCAGGACCGGTTCACTAGTTTTATGGTTAAACTGGCCAGTCAACCAGCTTTCACCAGTTTTTTAGCAAATACAGTTATTGGGGTGTGACCGAACCAACCATGGTCCCAAGTCATGATTCAACCAATTTGACTGGCAGGACCGATCCGGTTTCCTAAACACTGTTAGTAGAGCAGCACTAAATCCAGATATTGAGTACATCAAAAACTACAGGGAAAAGAAATAGAAGATAGTAATACTCCGATGTTAAAAGCTTACCTAGAACTTGTTTTTCCCTTCTTTTATAGGCAACGGGGTACATCTTCAGGAGCAAGAAATGAAGCAATTGGCAGATACTAGGGAAATGATTATACAAGCACCTACATATTGGACAATGGGATCCCGACATACTGTTCATGGCTCTATGAACACACCAGAAACAAGCAATGTGGCCACATGCTGCAATAATATAAATATAAAATTAGTAAAGTAATAATTCCATTTTAAGATATGGTCTTCGATATACCTTCTTACCAAGTACAATTGGCTTGTAGAGGAGATCCCTGTAAATATAAAAAGGAAATTACCAATTTACCATTAGACAGGTTGAACATCAATCAGAAGAAAATATTCATCAAGAAAAAACATCAACCAGAAGAAAACTTCAATTGATAAATCGAAAAGGAAATGACAGATGTGATAAAATAATGATGCAGGTAGACACTTCTTTTCACTAATCACTACAGAACTAAACCCGTAAGAGTAGAATTCTAATACTCTACAATTCCTCCTTTGCAACAACCTACAATGGGGTAACCCATTGCTCATGAATTCGAAATTGATCCATCCACAGCTAGAAATCTATTTACAAACAAAAGGGCAGCCCAGTGCATGAGGCTCCCACCAATGCGGGGTCTAGGGAGAGACAGATGTACGCAGCCTTACCCCTGACATATAGAGAGGCTATTTCCAAGATTTGAACCCTAGTCACCCAGGTCGAAATGGAGCAACCCAACCATTGAACCAAGGCCCACCCTCAAATCTATTTACAAACAAATATTTATTTATATTTGTTTATATGATCTACTCTAGGCCAGCTCATCCAAGCCCACACTCTTTGTTTAACTACTTGATAAGCCACCAAAAGAAAGGACCAAAGGAGTAATCAACACTAAAGTTTGTACGAGGGAGAGATGGGAAGCTTCACTAGGACTCAACACCTCATCATCTATTGCACCTATATTTTTTTATCAATAACATGAAATTTTCATTAGATAAAGATAAAATACAATGGAGCACCACATAGAGAGATAAACTCTCTTAGCTTTCTCCGAGGTGACATTGAAATACATAGCTTACAGCATAGCCTAGAATATCTGATCCCTTCCCACCCCTTGCTTTGCCAAAGCATCAGCAAAAGCATTTGCACTCCTTTTTACCCATTGCTGCTGAATTTCTATATTTTGAGTTAAGCATTTGAACTTTCTTCTTTCATTGATAAAGTTCCGCCAACCAATATCTTCTTTTTGCAGCCAGTTTATTACCAAATTAGAGTCCCCTTCAATAATCAGTCTTCTAATGCTCAGCTCCTTCGCTTTTTGAATTCTTCCCATCATTGCCATGATTTCTGTCCTCAATGAATCTCCCACACCTATTGGGCCTGAGCATTAAGCTATAATTCTTCCCTCCTCATTCCGAAAAACACCTCCAATGCCAAAAGGACCTGGATTCCCCTCATTATTGCCATCGAAACTCAATTTGACAAACCCATAAGGAGGTGGGAACCAAATCAGCCTGATAATAGCTTTTGGGAGAAAGGAGTCTACCACCTCTTTCCACTTCCTAAGCAAGTCATTTGTGGAGATGTCATCAAAGCTGCTCAAAGACTTGACCCACTGGATCACTCTAGCTGTGATGGCCTGAATGGTTCCTTCTCTACTTCTTTCCTTGTCTTAAAAATCTCTTTGATGTCACCAAAGTTGCACCTATGTTTTTTGAAATGAGTAAATCATTAAGTTTAAAAGTTGTAGTTTCAGAGGTTTGAAAGTACAGCACCTACAGTTATTGGATGCCAGTCTGGTCTGGTAGATAGATTTGTAAAAGCAGACCCAGAAATGGATGATATTGTGAGCTGAGCATCTTCAAAGTGGAATCCGAAATGCCTAGTGGAGGTAATAAGATTGAACACTAAGTTGTTTCTTTTTATTATACAAAATAGAGAAGAAGCTACAGTTGTTTCTTTTATTATTGTTTCATGTTGATATTGGTATATATATATGTCCTTTTTTGAATTTTTGTTTTTTTATTCCATGCCATTTTTTAAACAACAAACAAGATGCACTTTCCCAATAACCTAAATAATCTCTTCTCCTAAAATTTATCCTAAACTACCTCCCCCACTTTCTCTAAAATTATCTCCAATTCCTATTTATCTTCTAAATTATCTCTAATTCCTATTCATCTCCACAATTATCTCTAATTTAGTACAGAGTTTCCCTCCTAAATTATCTCTAATTCCTGTTTATCCCCTCCCCCACTTTTTATCTATATTTATCTAAAGAAAGTTTGGATTAAAAATTTTAAGAATTATTTAAATATTCTAAAAAAATTATATAATAACTTTAAAATATTTATTAAAAACACAAAAATAATTTTATATTTTCACAAAATATATCACGAAATTATGTACTAACAATTTAAAATACATTTTTCTAGATTATCAATTTAAATTCTTTTCAAATATTTAATAATATATAATAAATTTAAATAAATAAAACTCAAATAACAAAAAAATTTAAATATTTTATAGATTATTTAAATATTTAAATAACTAAATATTTATCATAACTATATTTTAAATAGTTAAAATAACGAAATTATCTAATAAATAATTTTATATTTTTACAAAATATATCACGAAATTATGTATTAACAATTTAAATTATGTTTTTCCAGATCATCAATTTAAATGTTTTTAAAATATTTAATAATATGTAATAGTTTTAAATAAATAAAATTTAAATAACAAAAAAACTTAAATATTTTATAGATGATTTAAATATTTAAATAACTAGATATTTATCATAACAAGATTTTAAATAGTTACAATAACGAAATTATGTAATAAATTTAAAAAATT